CCCCCCCCAAAAAAAAAAAACCTAAACCCAAACCCCCCAACAACGTGGGTTATGACTTCTTGATCCTAGGAACCCCCACCAAAAAAGTGTAGGTTTTCGGATCTCCAAGTTCCCCCTACCTAGACCCTCAAAATGTAATACCTTATGTCGGTGAGGAAGCTAAGGCAACCAAAAAAAGGCGCTACTATTACATTTCTGGGTCAAGGTTACCCTAAACCCTAAACCCTAAACCCTAAACCCACCGTTGAGGGTTACCCTAAGCCCTAAACCCTAAACCCACGGTTCAGGGGTGCGGCCACGCCCGGGTCCAAGGACACCGCGGCGACCTCGGAAGGCTCCAACTCGAGGGCCAAGGTCCTCAGATCAAAAGGGGCTTTTGGTTTAGGGTTTTGGGTTTAGGGTTTAGGCTTTAGGGTTTAGTGGTTTAGGGTTTAGGGTTTAGGGTTTAGGGTTTGGTGGTTTAGGGTGTAGGGCTTAGGGCTTTTGGAGGTTTGGGGGCTTTTAGGGTTTTGGGGTCTAGGGGGGTTTAGGTAGGCCTTTTGGGGGTTTTAGGGTTTTGGGTTTAGGATTCAGGGGCTTACGGTTTAGGGTTTAGAAAGGTTTGCATATGGATTCTCTTAGGGTTTTATGTGGTGGTCCTGGGATCATAAGGGGAGTCGGACAAGGCGTCACAGGTGGCTTTTAGGGATCCTTATGGCTCAGACCTAGGGTTTAAGGTTTAGGGTTTAGGGGCTTTGGGCTTTGGGCTTTGGGCTTTAGGGGCTTTGGGCTTTGGGCTTAGGGTTTAGGGCTTAGGGCTTAGGGCTTGGGGCTTAGGGCCTAGGGTTTCCAGTGTAGGGTTTAGGCTTTGAGGGTTTAGGGTTTAGGGTTTAGGGTTTAGGGTTTAGGCTTTAGGGTTTAGGGTTTAGGGTTTTCGGGATTTCAGGCAGTGATGCGGTGCGTTCACTCAGGGCTGGGTGCCCAGAGACTCGAGAATCTGTCAGTTAAGGAATATACCTCAAATCACGTCAAGTCATAAAAGGAGACTTCATATGATCTAAGTATATTCCTACATCAGTGCATTTGGAATCTCCGGTAATTCGAGTATCAGCTTTGACGCTTAGGACTACATGTTTGTGCTTTGGGACAACACCGCCGACAGGAGCCCAATCAACACTATTACTACTATTCTATATGGTTTCCCAACAAGCATGCATGTTCGTGTACACCTACATACATGCATGAATGCATGCATGCATGCATGCATGCATGCATGCATGCATGCATACATACATACATACATTTGCCATTTGCTTGCTTTCAGTGGTGTACGCAGCTTAATTAGGGCTTGCACTGGCAGTGTGCACTCAGTTGGGACTCAGCCTACCCGGCGCAGAAATCTGCCCAACCCCACGATGACCGGCCTAAGGCCCCAAAGTCCAAACAGGGCTCGCGAAACT